CCCGGGGGGGGGGGGAGGGAAGGGCAAAAATAAAAAAAGGATAAAACCAAAAAAACTAAAGAAAAAAAAAGTGGAGGCAAAGGTGTAATCTGTTCTTATTTTATTGATTCTTTAGAAGATAACAAGCCTTGACATGCTTGACAACATGGAAAGGCTTTCAAGGGTTACCGCTGTGAGCCACATCACTGGGTAAGGACAGGAATGTTTGTTTGCGCTTGATACTAACAAAAAGAAAAGATTCTTACACTTGAAAACAGTTCAGTTTTAAGTTTTTCTTGTTTTCATTTTACAACATGTGCTGCTTCTCCTAACATGGTGAATGCTCTTAGCTCTTTGGGCTTTTTTTTGTCACCTTCTTCTGCCTAGAGTAGAAGGCTCACCTGGTTATGGTCTCTTCAGTACTGAAGGAGACCCTAGCTCTCTTCAGCTAGTATTGAGGACACACAGGCCATAATTCAGAGAAAAGACAGAGTAAGAATACAGGGAGCAGTAGCAGAAATTGTTTCTGCAGTTAGGAATATCAGCAGGGATCCAGAGCGAGGAGAAATGAATGGGCAATATGAGGGGGACAGCCTTGAGATTGTGCTGCCCTCTGGATTGCATTCCGGACAGACCCATGATCATAACACTGGAAGAATGGAGTAATTCACAGGAAACTTCCACCTGGGCCAATATCCCATCTGCAACAGAAGCCAGTAAAAGAGGAGTGTAACAACAATAACCGATATCTCATCAAAATGATCCCTTAGGTCCTAGCAATTTGTAGGCCAGGGACTCGCCAAGTTGCAGGGGATGTCTGTTGATTTGGAGAGCCTTGACTGGATTTTTCTCCTGTGTGTCCGTTGATTGCTTTCTCTGGACATAACATCTCTAATTTTTCATGCTTTAGGGTGTGGCTTTAGCATGACAAATTACAAAAGTTTGAGGAATAGGCAAAGAGTGGTACATGCACAAACAGGTGATGGCCGTGGATACTACATGGAGTATACATGTATTGAAGACGAAAATCTCATTTATATACAGTTAGGTGTTCTCAGTGTGTGTGTGCGTGGGTTACAAAACAGTGCCGGTAAACACACTTTCTGTGGTGTAGATGAAGCGGGACAAAGTGGCAGCCAGCAAAGAGAGTGAACTGAACCCCCTTTCCTGTAGCTGAAGAGAGGTGAAGAGAAGGTGTTTGAAGGAGGGGCAGCGACAAGTCATTTGAAAGACCAGAGAAAAAGAAATGGGGAGTCTTGAGGACCAGAGACATCCCTGTGTGAAATATCTGAGCTGAAAGATGCTGGGAAAGACTTAGCTCATCAGTATATTTTTAGATCTCATGCTCTCACACAGACCTTCCCTCCCAGAGTCGCTGTGACTGAGGCAGAGCCAAATGCCCATGTCAGCAGGAGAAAGAGTTCTGAGAGCTCACAAAGATCTCCTGGAGTCCTTCATCTTGAAGGGCTCTCCTGTGTCTGCCTGTGGACAATGACGTGTGTATTAGGCCAGGGTGAGCATAGGAAAATACTACATATTAGCATTATGCTAATCATATAGACGCAGTTGACCCTAAGCTATGAAACTGAGGACTGCAAGGACAGCCAGCAGAAATGAGGTGTGGGCTGAAGAGTCACCATGACTGATTTTCAGAGTCGTGAAGTCGTACCAAAATGAGAGAGAGAGAGAGAGATGTTGTCACTGGCAATGTACTCTGGTGAAAGAAAAACATCTTGCATGAAAGATGTAAGTGCATCTATCCACTCGGAACGATGCCAGGCCTCTGAAAACACGGAGGTACGCATGCACGTAGCCACGCAGCCATTCAGTTGTGCATTTGGCGTACGTGGCTAGTTTTCATCCCGTGAGTAGCAGCGATCTAGATGGAAACGTAACGCTTTTTGCAGGAGGGGAGGACGCAGGGAAACGGCGCTTCAGGGGCACCGGGGCTGGGGGAAGGCGGGAGAGGCGGAGGCGGGCGCCGCGAAGCCGGCCGGGCCCCGGGGAAGGTGCCCGAGAGGCTGAAGGTCTTCCTGGAGAACGTGATCCGCGACGCCGTCACGTACACCGAGCACGCCAAGAGGAAGACGGTCACGGCCATGGACGTGGTCTATGCCCTCAAGCGCCAGGGACGCACCCTTTACGGCTTCGGCGGCTGAAGCTTTTACCTGCTGTGTACTTTCCAGAACCCAAAGGCTCTTTTCAGAGCCACCCACTTTCTTCTCTGAAAGGGCTGTGTCGTGTTGCTCGGTGTGTATTTGCTGTGGCCGCATTTTTGCTCCCTCTTCTTACGTTCTCCCTATTCCGCGCCCCAGCCTCCCCACCCGGCAAGCCTTGCAGCTCAGACCTTGGCTTCCCCGCATCGCCCTGCTGCCGCATCTTTCCCCTTCCCGGTTCTTCCGCCGCCTCTTTCCAGCGACCGCTTTCCCAAGAGATTTGCTCGGGCACAGCCGAGCCGAGGGCGTTTTAAGCGGCTTCATTTGAGACACAGGCTGAGGGCACGGCCCCCTGTCCCAGCAGAACAAAGAGAGAAACGGGCAAATGCCGAGGCCCGCGCGGGCGACGATCGGCTCTGGGCGATCCCGCGCTCCGCCCCGGCGCAGCACCAACACCCACCGGGAACCACTC